GTGAGAACAGGCCCAGAATCCTGGAGAATAAACTCCTAAAAGGAGCATGAAGGCACGTGAGACGGTGGCGTGGAGGGAGGGCGGTCTAGTGGGTGGGGGCATCCGGGAAACTCACCTTCCCCAGGACCTGCAAATGGGTCAGGGTGGCAGAAGGTGATCCTGGAGAGGTAGGTAGGGACCAAATCACAAAGGGTCTCTGGAGTAGATTTCTCCAGCTGCTGTCACAACGTGCTGCAACCTGTGTGGCTTCAAATAGCAGAAATGTGTAGTGTCACAGTTCTGGAGGCTGGAAGTCCAGAGTCACACCGTCAGCGGGACCACGCTTTCTCTGCCCGCTCTCCGGGAGAAGGTTTCCCTGCATCTTCTGGCTCCTGTGGGCTCCCGGCTGTCCATGGTGCTCCCCGGCTTGTAGAGACATCACTCCAGTCTCTGCCTCTGTTGGCACACGGCCATCTTCACAGCATCTTCTCTCTGTGCGTGTCTGCGTCTGTGTCCCAGTTTGCCCTTTTGATGAGGACACCAGTCACACTGGATCCGGATCCACCTGAATGACCTCGCCTGAACTTGATTGATCTGCAAAGGCTCTCTCTACAGATGAGGTCACATTGGCAGTTGCTGGGGGGTAGGACTTCAGGAGATCACTTCTCAGGGGACACAACTCAACCCAGAGCAGCTTTGTGTGCTGGTCGAAGAAGTTTGTTTGGTAGCCACATAGGCTGTGAGTTGCAAGCAGAGGACAGGACGTCGTGTGTGCTCCGAAGGGTGGGTGGAGGTGGGGGAGCTGAGCCAGGCCCAGCCTTGTCCCCCAGGTCCTCACACCCGGGCTGGATGCCCCAAACACAAATGCACAGGCCTTTTTTCTTTCTTTGTTTTTCTTTCCTCCATTCCTCCCTCCCTCCTGCCTTCCCTTCTTCCTTCCATGTTGTGTTAGTTTCTGTGTACAGCAAAGTGACTTAGTTATACGTACTTTTTTTTCATATTCTTTTCCATTATTGTTTATTACAGGACACTGAGTATCGTTCCCTGGGTTATACAGTAGGACCTTGTTGTTTATCTATTCTGTGTGTAATAGTTTGTATCTGCTAATCCCGAACTCCTAATTTATCCCTCCTCCCATCCCCTTTAGTAACCATAGTTTATTTTCTATGTCTGTGAGTCTCTTTCTGTTTTGTAAATAAGTTCATTTGTATCATTTTTTTGATCCCACATATAAGTGATATCATATGATGTTTGTCTTCCTCTGTCTGACTTACTTCACTTAGTATGATCATCTCTAGGTCCATCCATGTTGCTAGAAATGGCATTATTTCATTCTTTTTTATGGCTGAGTGGTATTGTAGACATAAAGCACAACTTCTTTACCCAGTCGTCTGTTGATGGGCATTTAGGTTGTTTCCATGTCTTGGCTATTATAAATAGTGCTGCTGTGTACATTGGGGTCCATGTATCTTTTCGAATTCACATTTTCTCCAGAAATATGCCCAGGAGTGGGATTGCTGGATAGTATGGTAACTCCATTTTTAGATTTTTAAGGAATCAAGTGGCTGCATTAATTTACATTCCCACCAACAGTGTAGGAGGGTTCCCTTTTCTCCACACCCTCTCCACCATTTATTATTTGTAGACTTTTTGATGATGGCCATTCTGACTGGTGTGAGATGATACCTCATTGTAATTTTGGTTTGCATTTCTCTAATAATTAGTGACGCTAAGTATCTCTTCATGTGCCTATTGGCTATCTATATGTCTTTGGAGAAATGTCTGTTTAGGTTTTCTGCCTGAATTTTGATTGGGTTGGTTCTTTTTGTTTTGTTTTTCTACTGAGTTGTATGAGCTGTCTGTGTACTTTGGAAATTAAGCCTTTGTTGGTTGCATCATTTGCAAATATTTCCTCCCAGTCCATAAGATGCCTTTCCATTTTATGTATGGTTTCCTTTGCTGTGCAAAAGCTTCTAAATTTGATTAGGTCCCATTTGTTTATTTTTGCTTTTATTCCTATTGCACAGGGCTTTTTTCTTGACTTGAGCAGGATAAGATACACGTAATAAATATGAACAATTTATAAAATTAAGAAAGAAGAATTTTCAGGGAATCAGTCATTGCTTAATGTATGGTGGTTTCTCCTTGCTTTTTATTATGAAAACTTCATAGATGAGCAAGAGTAGAGTGACTGGTAACCCCCTCGTACCACGACCGGCCTGCCCACCCTCACTTATTTACGTCTGGCTTCGCAGGCCAGTCATGGCATGAACGCCAGCTTTGTCACCTGTAGCTTGGGGCTCATTGCACAATGTCCGCGAGCCTCGGCTTTACTTATAAAATTGGGATGACACCTGATGATGACTCAGAGAGCAAATGCATGTCAGGGGCCCCGCGCAGCCCCTGGCATACAGTTGGCTGCTAGTAAGTGTCACTGTGCCTTTCTGAATGTGCCCCAGAAGCCTAGGACCCCAGGGCCCTGACCCACGGCTGTTCTTGATCGAGCCTAAAGAGGCAGTCGGAACAGGACAAGCGACCACTTGTCAGGAGAACTCGAGGGATGTCTTTCCACGAGCATTTCCTCGGAGTAGTTACATAAGTTAAAAAAAAGTTAACAAAAAGTAAATACTTAGTGCTTTTTAAGGAAGCCTCTGGTAAGAAATGGCTGGGGAATAGAAGAGAAAAAGAGGGAAAGTGGAATAAACAGGGACTGAGCTACAGGGCAGCGCTCCCCAGTGAGCAGAGCCTGACCACAGGGCTGGGCTCGGGCCTGGGACTCTGCATTGCTCACAAGCTCCCAGCTGGTGCCACTGCCGAGAACCACCGCCCACACCTGGAGTAGCCAGGACATGGGGCAAACTGACTTCCACGGGCCAGGCTCCTAGGTCTCTCTGCCTGTTTTTGTACTTCCTGTAAGCTGAGACTGGGTTTCACATTTTTTAAAGGTCAAAAAAGTCAGAAGAATAGTATTCATGACATATTAAAAAATTATGAAATTCAAATTTCAACGTCCAACTTTATCAGAACACAGAGACACCCCCTCTTTACTGTTGTCTGTGGCCTCTGTCACAAGTGCAAAGTTGAGTGCGTGGGACAGAGAAGGTGGGGAGCCCAGAATATTTACTAGCTGGCCTTTATAGAAAGGGTGTGTCCACCTGGTAGAGCGGCAGGGCCCAGGGAAGCCAGCAGGGGGCAGCAGAGAGCCGCATGCGGCAGGGCCTCCCAGGGCTCAGGACAGGTATTTAGAAATGTGACAGCGGGAGGCGGGGGACTAAGCTGAGGTTTAGGAGGGAGGTATGGGCCAGAGGTAGAAATGCCCGGGCAATTAGCATGGGAGGTGAGGTGGGGCAAGTGAAGTGGAGAAAGCCCAGGGTATGTAGGACTTACATAAGGAGCTCTTCAAGGGTTGGTGGATCCAGGGGTGGTGGCCCGGGGACGCCAGCGGGGCTTGGACTTCAGGCAAAAGCAATAGGGAGCCATTGGAGGGATCAGGTGGTGGAATGATAGCATGGAACTGGAGGGAGGGCCCATAGCTCTGGTGGCTGGGCCCCCAGGAAGCTGTTGCAATGGTCCAGGGCCTTGGGGAAGGGGCCGGCAGCCACCTGAGCTGTGAAACAGCCCATCCTGCAAGAGGGCTCGGAACGCCCCTTCCCTTGGAGTCTGCATTTTCTCCCAGGTCAGGCTGGACGAACAGTGTCTTTTCCCTTTCCCCTGTTTCCCTCCACTTTCAGCACCACCACAGTGCACTTGGGGGGCTCTCTTTTTGCTTCTGGCATCCCTGCTTTCTTTCCTGTGGCCCCTGCAGATGCGGGATTTCACCCACTGCCAGCTGGTTCTCCTCGGTTAGTGCTCAGCCTTCGGGTGAGGCCTTTTTTTGCTTTTAAAGAATTATTTCTTAATGGGGCAGAGGCACGGCTCAGACTCCTTTAGAAGCTGGCGAACACCACGTGAGCCCCAGAAAAATGAGCACAGGCAGGTGGACTCAAAATCTGAGATATGATTTCAGGGCTCATGCACTCCCCAAGCTCCCAGTTTAGGACCACTGACTTGGGGCTTCAGTTCTGGGTCAGCTGGGGGCTAGCTGTCCCTGGCTTTAAGGTTTGGGGCTTCATAGCAGAGACCCAGTGCCAAGACCTCCCTGTAATTCCTGATTTTCTTGGTATCCCCGTCGTTCCTCCCATCTTAGGGAGATGGTGTGAATACCTAAGTCTGTCTTTGGAATGGACTGAAACCTTTCGCACACAGAGGACAGGAGCTGCACAGACCACCCAGGACAGCAGGTCTGGTGGTTCTCGGCTGTGTGCTGGGCATCGTGGAACCCTCTGGGAACTTCCCTGAGCTGGAGAATCTGCATCTGGCCTCTGGGCTGGGCCGGTGGGCTGACCTCTCCCTATGCATTGGGCCAGGAAACATTGTGTTCACTTGGAGAGTTCTACTGGGGATCTTAATACATCGTAAAATCCCCTTTCCTTGCAACAAAAAGAGTACTCTATCAGATGCAGTCTTATTTAGGAAATTATTCGCCTCTATAACTAGAAGTAAGTAGATTACATTTTTTAAAAGATTAATTCAATCTCTACAACAAGAAATGTTTAAAGGAATATAGTCATTCCATTGTGAAATGTTTCTAAAGAACAGATGGAAGCTTAGAAATTTGAACTATTTTTCAAATTATCCAAAATTTAAAAATCTAATCCAGCATCAGCTTTTCATAAAAGCAGTCATTTCCAGCAAGTATGGTGTCTTTGTGTGTGCATGTGCACGCGCGCATGTGTGTGTAATAACATCTTCAGTGGAATACAATTTATATAACACAAAATGCACCTATTTAAATGCACAGTTTCATTTTGGTGAACAAACAGATCTGTGCATCACCCCATCCTGGTACCCCAAAATGGTCTCTTACTTTTTAATTACAAGATGGGATATTAGAAAAATAATCTTAATTGATTGCACTCTGTATTTGCATCATCTAAGTTATATTCCTACCAACAAATGACCTTTGTTGATATCTCTTCCAGGCAAACATGAGACAGCTGGAGCAAAGCTCTTGCAATCTTATCAGGCATTGAGGTGAGTGTTTTAAAAGGACAGGCCGTCCTGGGCCCTCCGGGGCTGGGGTGCGAAGGACGTGCTGAAAGAACTGAAAGATCCCTTGCCTTTCAGATATCACCGCTTTGGAATGTAACTTTTTTAAAAAGACGATAAAGTGCTTGGAAAAGTTTCAGAGATGTTTCCAGATTCTTATGCAAAGCCTTCTCGGAGCTAGCCTAGTATTTTCTCTCAAAGTATTTTGTTTCTTAAATCCTCCTGCAACGTTGTCAGGAAACTGAACGTTGTTTTTGATGGCATGTGTAGTGAAATTCTAAACCAAGTATTTGTTTTTATGAATCATTCATATCTCCAACATCTTGCCCAGTGCCTGACACCTTAGAAACATCTGTGGAATAAACATTGGTGGTTTTGAAAAATAGCCCGAGAGATAGTAACGTTTTACACAAAATTCTAAATACCTGGCTCTCTTGAAGCTAGCAAGCACTCACACACCTGACTGCGCTGAATTTATTAAAGCGCACTGTGTGCTCCCCACCAGCAGCTTTTTTTTTGGCTCATGATGAGATTTTCTAATCTCAGGACTTTTTCATTTTTCACTCCTCCGTTTTTCCCCCCTACTTCTTTTAGCACAAACTTCTAATTCCTCTTGTGGTCAGTTTTGAAATCCATGGCATTTTGGGCATTCTGCTTGAACATTCAAGTCTGGAGTGTTCTGGATCACACATGTGGAGTCCGGATTCCAGAACAGCCAGGCCGCAGAGCAGGTCCCGAGCCCCCAGCTCTGTGTAACCCACGGCAGAGGGCTCTGCCCACACCTCAGACTGCGTGACGCTCGTTTCCCACGTTCAGGTACCAGGGAATCATGCCCTCTGCAGAGCAGATCCAAGCAGCCTGCTTGACCCTCTTCTAAAAAGTGAGGAAGTGTTGTTTTTTTTTTAAAGGCAGAGAGCTTGAATTATAGGATGATGCAAATCTTGGTTTCTAAGACTAACACTTGCACAGCTCACGACCCATTTCTTATCCCTGTGTTTTCCCTCGGCAGCAACATATCCGTGGTTCCTCCTACTCCACCTCCTTTCAGTGAAAGCCAGTGCAGTGGCAGCCCCGGCAGGGTAATGTTACAGTTCTGTGTGCCTCCCTGGGAGGGGGCAGGGGAGGGAAGCAAAGGGAGGTGGGACTGAGAGCCTCATGGTCAAGGGTGGAGCAGGTCTCGAGGCGAGGAGAGAAGGGGGCCCCGATCGGAGGTTGGGACGCGCTGGACCCTGCCCCGTGTCTGTGCTTCCATCCCCTCCTTGTCAGTGGACTCGTCTTCTGCCTGCATCCCACGTCCCCATCTCTTGTTCTTGTCATTTTGTTGGTTCTCTCCCCAGCTGTGCCCTTGAGTGTGGGGGTCTGGATGGGCTGCAGTGTCAGGGGTCTCTGGAGGTGTAGCGGGAAATACAGGTTGATTCACAGGTGTGGGGTTCACAGATGTGGGAGTGCCCATGAAATGTGTGTGTGCATCTTTTGAGTGTTACTAACATAAAGTAGATGAGGACTGTTTCCACCCAAGGAAGTTAGCCACGTGATCACGGGGGAGCGACCCGGGCTCCCATCTCGCTTGCCTCCCATGGCTGTTGTGAAAAATTAACAAAATAATGGCCATGCTGGTACTTGGAAACTGCAAAGTGTCCTGGAAACAGGTGGTCTTGATGATTTTCATCATTATCACTTTGTGTATTAAAAGGAGTAACTCTATCTGTACATGGGATATCCACGCCTGCTGGTGAGACAGAGAAAATATATACGTTCTTTATTCAATTTCAAACTGAGACCCTGGAGTGACCATCAAAATCCTGCTCTACTCTCTGCTTGAGAGAGATTTTTAATTCTCTGAAGTTATTTGAGCACAGATGTGCTTGCTCAAGACATTTTACTGGGATGGATGGATGGACGGATGGATGTGACTTGCAGAGGAACATGATCTCATTTCTGTTGTTTCTCTCCCTTTTCCTTCTCTCTTCTGCGTTGGGAGAGAAGGGACTAAACCTTGGCTCCATCTGCTCACCTTGTACCTGATGCCACCCTCAGCCCTGTGTCACGTGCTTTCTGCCCGTGTTGGTGTCCCCTCTGCATGGACCTGGGGTGGGGTCATAAGAGGAGGTTAAAGAAGCAGGAATTTCCTTGGGTAGAGCTTTGAGCCGTGAAACGTCTGTCATTATTTCTGAGAGGTAGTTTGTTATCTTTCTAATAACCGGGTGATGAGGTGGTGGCACTCCTCCCTTTAATGTGGGTGTCAAATCTCAGAGGGGAAAATCTGCGTGAGGAGGACCCCCACCCCAAGAGGACGGTGCCCTCTACTCCCGCATGCATGCACACGCACCAGCACACACCCTGAGATCCCACACCCGCACCTGCCGGGGCCTGGGGGCACAGCCTGGAGGCTGCAGGGGCAAACACGGGATGGCAGATGTACTCTCATTCTCTCTCCTTCTGTCTCTGTTTTAGTTACGGGAACTTGGTCAGTTTAAAGGATTTCATAAGTCCGTGGAGAATTTGTTTCTGTCTGTTACCACCCATGTGAAAAGTAAGTGGATGCCTCTCCGCATGTCCTCCCACCACCGTCCAAGCCAGCCATGTTCACTGACCAAGGCCTGTCCGGTGGCCCTGGCTGGGACAGGGCCACTCTCTCTGTCTCTGGCTCCTGGGGAAAGCCATAGCTCTGAGCCCTTTACCCCTCCAACTGTGTTTCCATCAGAGACAGCTCTGAGGGCCTGGTGTGTGTCAGGACCATTCTAGCTGCTGGATGGAGAAAGATGCCCCAGAGTTTACAGACAATTGACTTGGGAACAGGGGAGGCTCCGACACCCTGGTGGGAAAGGTGAACACCCTGGGGCTTTGAGGGGGGCGTGTATGGGGTCTCCTCTAGAGAAAAGAGACCATCTACACATTTACCCCAGGAAGTGCACGCAGGAGAAACTTAATAAACAGCAAAGCATAAGGATTCATGCAGTAACACCTCAAGGGATGGATCAGAGGACAGAGGGTGCCCTGGGGCTGCACTGTCCAATATGGTGGCCTCTAACCACATGTGGCTCTTGAAATGTGGCTGGAGTGAAATACGCATTGAATTCTAGAGACTTAATATTGAAAAAAGAGTGAAATTTTTCATTCATTTTAATAATGATTATATATTTTCACACTGTTTTGGATATATTACATTAGATGCAATGTAATATTAAAATAATTTTACCTGTTGGTTCTTGCTTTTTAAAATGTGGCTACTAGAAAATTTGAAATAATGTATGTGAGCTATATTCTATCTCTAAAGACAGTTTCACGGTCCATGTTTGAGAGAGACAAGAATCTCATGGGAAAAGGAAGGTACTTTTAAAGAACACAGTCATCTTTGAGGTGGCTCTCCATTGGGTGTGGGGTCCTTCCTTATATTATACTGAAAGAAAAGATTAAAGTCATCTTTTCAGGGTTGGTTTACTAAAACGGTTGTAAGCGTACCTCAGGTCTGCTTTTACCTCGAGAAGTAGTATTCAGTTGTAAAGTCTTTGTAAGGAGCCGTTAAGTAGCCAGCTGTTTTGTTCAGCTGCCTTCTTTGTGTGTGGACAACCACACACTCAGGACGTGTGGCCGGGATGCAGAGTAACTTGGGTCAGAAGGTCTCCCCTGCGCTCCCGCCCTGGCGGTGGCTCTGGCTGCCGAGGTGGGTGGTCACCCGATTCCCCCTCAGGAGCCAGCACCTCTGTCCTGGGCAGGCGCCCCGCGTCCAGTGCGCGGTGCCCCGGAGCTCGGGGGACTGGGGTCCCGGAGGAGGGCTCCCGTAAGTCTTGGCTGAGCCATGTGCTCCCACCTGTCACCCTTATATTTGTTTTCTAGAACTCTCCAAGTCCCAGAATGACGTGACCTCTGACAAGCAACACCCAGCCCTGGGTCCTGGGCCGTGCGCAGGCCCGACGGAGAGACGGAGCCAGTCGGACACTGCAGTCAACGTCACCACCAGGGTACCCCCGGTCACCCCTAGATCGCCTTCTAGCCCCTTTTCTCTATAGATTCTTTTCCCTTTTATTTTATAGCTAAACATCAAGCAGTCTGAAAAACATAATTATAAACCCCCTCTACTGGGGCAGGGGGCGCTGTCCCAGTGAAGGTTAAGAGTCAAGGTTGATTTGGAAAGTGGTTCAGAACAGGGAGCGGCTTCCACCTCATTCCAGGCCCCTGGGGCTTCCACGTGTCCTCTGCCACTCCTTGCTGGCCTCGAGGCCACGCCAAAGACAAAGGCTGCCCTCAGGCCTGAGCTGTGTCCGCGTCCCACAGCCTCCGCCTAAGACCTGTCCTGATCCCTGCAAATACTGAAGCCAGAAATGCTGCACGCTTAGGTGACATCGGGAGGGGGACCCTCCAGGTACCTAAACCATGAGCGATGTCACCTAGTACAGGCCTGTAGGAGAGAATCACTCTTTCCACCGGCATTAACCATTCCAGACGCACAAGCACTGGAGTCTGAGGGAGAGTGGACTTCAGGACCAGAAAACCTGGGTCCTCATCCAGCAGAGAGGACCTGGCTCTGGCAGGTGCCCCCACCTGGCTGTTTTCAGGGTCGATGTGACAGCTCTGCTTGGCTGGACAGGACAGGTGTCCCTTCTGCACAGTGGTGGGCTCCTGTCAGGATGTCCCCAGCAGACTGTTCTGGGGGTGGAGCTGTGGGCGTGAGCCTCGCTCACCTGCTGGGGCTTCCACACCCTCTCAGGATGTCAGATTCCACCTCCATCCGCACATCATGTCATGTGAACCCCCCGAGCATCAGACTGTGCCCCCCGAGCTTCCCGGGGAATGAATACGATGATACCTGTCCCGCCCAGAACCGCACAGTGTTCTCACTCCCCTGAGATCACTTAGGTCACAGTTGAGATACTGTGTAATCGAAATATAAATCTAAATTGCTGGCACTTGTTACTGTGTGCCAGGCTCTCACCAAAAGCTTTACCTGGACTCTCACTTTATCCTCATACCACCCTGTGGGCAGTGGATACTGCATGCCACCCTGCTTACACTTAGGGAAACTGAGGCTTAGACAGACGCGAGCACATGCCCCTGGTTCCACAGCCAGAAATGGTGGGCAGTCTTGGTTTGGAGGCTGAACTCTGGAGAGGAGATTCTCAGCTTTAACGTGTCTGTGAGTCATTTGGGGATCGTGTTGAAATGCAGATTCTGAACCAGTAGATGGGGGTGGGCAGCACCTACACGTGTCCCAAAGCAGCTTGCAGGTGAGCAGGCGCTGCTGGTGGTGGTCCTCAGACGTCACTAACACGTCGAGGGTGCGTGGTGCACACTTAGAAGGTCTTTGAAACTCTGAAGTGCAAGCAAGCATTAGTTCCCGTCAGGTTCCCAGCATCCACATAAACTCCATGCTAAACCATCATTCCGGAATCCACAGATGGAGGAGAGGGTCAGGGTGCGCTTAGGAAGCGCTGTGTTCCAGGCGGATGGCAGTGTCTGTTATATACTTGATCACATTTCATTCTTAGAACATTCCTGAGAAACGTATTGTTATTCCCATGATAAAGATCTAGAACCTGAGTTTTAGTGAGTGTTCCACCCTGTCTCACAGCACAAGGCTCACAGGAGGTGGAGCCAGGAGCAGAAACCAAGTTCATTATGTTTCTAAATTGTAATCTCTTAACCTCTTTGTTCTATGCCCCATGTAAGGAGGACAGATGAGGGCCACTGAAGAAAAAGGGCTCAGGAAGGGGATTCTGAAACACGAACGATTCCCTTCCTTGCCTGGGTGGGATGGAGTCACTGTGACGCTGTCGCTGAACGTGGGCTACCCGTGTTCCAGGCGCTGTTCTCAGTGTAAAGCCTCTACAGGCATTTACCTCTTTTAATCCTTAAAAGACCCCTCTGCGGTCTGTGCTATTACTGTCACATTAAAGATGATGACTCTGGGACCAAGAGACACCCCGGGGGGGTATGTTCCCACTTCCGATGTCATGTGCCAGGGGATGGGGTGTCCCCAGTATCCATAGGCTTAGCTTCTGATGTTCTGAAGCTGAGATAATGTGGCCTCCATGGTGCTCACGCTCCTGGGCTACACGTGCACAGGAGTGGGCCTGCCAGGCGATTGCAAGGGTCAGCGGTGCTCAAGGGTAGAAAGGAGGAATGGGGACCATGGCTAGAGAGCCCCCAACACATAGACCCTCTGTCCCCTGTGTGTCCGCTTTGCTGCCACGCTCTTGGTAGGGCATACTTACGACTTTTTGTAAGCATTCTCTGTCCCTACTTTACTTGAAGATGTGGTTGTTTTAAAGAGCAGTTTAGCCAAATGTTTATAAAGTGCTCAGTAATCATGGCATGATCTATAAAAGCCAAATAATTATTGGGCTGTAGTCTAAAGAGTACATCTTTAAATAGGACATTGGTCAGACTGCAGTTACACATGCCGTGGCTGGTGGTGAGCTCACACAGTTCTACTCATTTGCACTGGGACGCTGTGGAGCATCCTGCCAACATTAAGGACGCTACGCGATGCCCTTTGTAAGTAGAGGATGTCGGTGCTCACTTTGCCGGTGGCTACACTGAGGCACGGAAACAGATAACTGTCTTAAAGCCACAGGGTGACTCCAGGACGTGAACTGAGAAAACAGCTCAGGATTGCTTCCGTGTCACTTCTCTGTCCATTAAGCTTGAGCTGCATGTTCTGAAGTTGTGCAGAAACTCTCATGGGAGCATCCGGGCCACGATTCATTAAGAAATTTATTCTTCTTACCTCTCCATTGAGGTTTCACGTGTGTTCCCAGCGGGCTTTCATTCCATGTCTTATTAATGTGTGGTTGATGAAACACTCACAGCTGTTAACTGGAAGGAACCATAGAGAGCTGTTAGGAGGAGTGATCTCCGAGGAGAGGGCCTGCGGACAGAGATGGAGAGAAAGACTCTTTCGTTCAGTATCCCGTTACGAGATTTTCCTGTGGATGCCTGGAATCTAGAGGAACAACCCACCCTAGGGCCTGGGGTTCCTGTACCTCTTTCCCTGCCTGCTGGCCGCACCCCAAAGGCTGAGAGAAGGAGGGAGGCCGCAGTGTTGGGCTTCAACCATTGAAACCCTTGGTCCCCAGATTTCAGGGCACTGGAGCCTTCCGATGGTCCCAGGAGAGGTGGGGTACTGTTCGGCTGGGATTTAACATGGCTCAGAGTGTGTGTTAATCAATTAGCCAAGTCCAGCCCGGGTATTTTTCTGACACCTGAGTCAGTGCTTATGATAAAAGACAACCCCGCGTTGGTGTCTCAAAGGCAAGAATGATTACTCTTCTCTAATCAGCAAGAAATTCCAAATGCACGTATTTTGTGATCCCAGAGAGTCCACAATTGATGGAATCAAACCTAATGTTTATTGAGCTCTCAGCACGTAATATTAAACGGAAGAACTCTTTGCAGAGTAGACCTCACTGAGGGCAACATTTCGCAATCTGGCCCAAAATAGATTACAAATCACAAGGGGAAAGAAAAATGCCTGTCTCAGTGGCACTGACGACAAGCTGCTGTTTGGATCTGGATGACCGTCGATCTGACAAAGGCGTCCAGGCCCTCCAGAACTCCCCCCGGGCCGAGGTGAGCACACAGATTTCAGGCTGGGTTCCTTAGTCAGCCCATGCAGGCGTGTTCTTCGCAGTGGTACTGCCTTCTCTAATAATTTTGAAATATTTACATTTGAGCTTCGTTAAAGCTCTCCGAAGTCGGGACCTGTTTGAAGCAGTCTTCCCCAGCTATGACTTTGCCCTGCCATGTGGTCGCTACTGTAAAGATAGTTCTGTTTGTTCCTTTTTAGAACTCTCTGCCATCAGTTTCTCTATGGTTCAAAAACCATTTGGCCTTAAAGAAGTGGTTATGTATTAAACGCCTAGGAGGTGCAAAGCTTCACATAAATATTTAGCTCCGTTTTAGCCTTTCTCTCCTTGTCTACTTACCAGTTTCCTTACACAGTGTTCCAAATGGAAGCGTCCACATTCTCCAAGACCCCTCCGGGCCCTGCACGGAGGATGGAGGTGTGTCTCTGGATGGGTAGCTGCCCTTTCCTCCTGCCTCAGAAGTGGACGTTCCTTCCTATGGTGGAGCCCTCTGCCAGGCGTTGGGTCTCCTTCCTCTTGGCTCTCCTCTGGGACCTGGCTCCATCAATTTGCAGCTTTTCCCCTTTCCGACCACTGCCCCTCGATCTACAAATATGCCCTATCTTCCCCACCTTAAAAAATAAGCACATCTTTTCAAAGCTTCCCCGTGAAGTTGCTCTTCCGTTTCTTCCTCATGGCCCCAAACTGGGAAAATGTCATCAACTCTTGCTGTCAGTCTTCTTGCCCGTCGCTGCCCTCCCTCCTGTTCATGCCCAGCACCCCTGCGGGCTGCAGCCCCCCTAACCAGGTGTGACCCTGCCTTCCTGGGAGTCCTCAGGGGCCCCGTGACTGAGGGGTAAGGTGGCTGATTTGGCAATCATCCTTTTCAGTCACTTGGTCGCATTTGACACAATTGACCAGAATTCTAGTCTTTAATTTTAAAAGGGTTCTTTTCTGTGTATTAAACCCTGTGGCTACTCACTAGTGAAAACTTAGGAAACACAGAGCCTCGGGCGTCAGCTGGCCGACACGCGTGTGCTTATTTTACAGAAGTGGCATCTACTGCTGTAATTTGCTTTTTAAAGAAAATCTAATGTGTTTTAATTCTTCCTGTGTGGATAAAGATAGAAAGTCACTTTTAACGGCTCCTTTTTAGGGCTTCTAATTCATGCTGCCGAATTGCGCTCCTCTGATGCTCCCTCAGTTTACAGGACCACTGTGAGTGGACTAGCTGTTTCCAGCACTCCTGCCAACACTGAACTTTTCACTTGTTATTTTAATATTTGCTAATTTGATAGGTCACTTTAAAAATCTGCATTTCTTTCATTTCAGCTGAGCCTTTTCTCATACTCTCCTTTTTGAGCACCTCCGCTCCTGCAACCTTCCCCTGGCAGCTCTGCCAGCTCTGTCTGCTCCCCTGTGCCCCCGCTTTAGTGCCTCCAGCTACCTGTCCTCTGGACCCCTCACACGTCACTGTGCCTGCCTGGTCTCGTGTCCAGGTCTCTGCCTGGCCTCTTGCGTCTCTGCAGGTGCTTTGGTCTCTAGCAGGTCTAGGAACATGCTCCAGACCTGACTGTCACGGTAGCCCCTCCACTTGGGACGCCTTACCTTTGGGCCTTTCCCCAGCCAGCCTTCGACACCCACTCAGGTCCTACTCCCACTGAAGATCATCCCAGATCCCCCTTCTGCATAAGCTGTCTCTTTCGCGTTGACTTGGCTTGTGCCTCCATTTTAATGGCGTCTATTTCCCCAGTGAGCTCCAAGTGGGCCCTTGGAGAACAGGCATCGCGTCTTCTCCTTCCTCTGCTCCTCCTCTTCCACCCCCAGGGCTTAGAGTGGCACCTTGAATACAGCATCACTTAACAAGCGTCTGATGGAGTTGAGCTGAGTTGTGGGAATCGAGAGCATGAACAATGACTGGAGGTTATCACGTCTTTCCCTTGTTCTGTAATCATCTTTATTTTTTATTCTGAAAAACTATGACCACAGTGTAATTGTTTATATCCCAAATTCTACTTCCACCCCAGTGTCAAAACCTAAAGGCTCAATTTGGAAACCTTGTCCTTTCAGCCGGAGAGAGATTTTCCCTCTTTGCTCTGTACAAGCACTGTCCGATAGAACTTTCTAGCCACTGCCGCACATGGTTACTGAGCACTTGAAATGTGTCTAGTGCAACCAAGGAGCTGAATTTATTCATTTCATTTGATTTTAATTAATTGGAATTTACATTTAAACAGCCATGTGTGGCTGGTGGCTACCATACTAGAAAGCACAGTCTGTACACATTATAGAAGAAGCACCATCTGTTAAAATATTTTTATAAATTTAAAGACCTATTTTGATTTTTTTCCTTTTTCATGAGCACATAAGAGACAAAACTCTATTAGGCTGAATATTATATTCCATGTGATTAAATGGTTTCATCATTATTAAGGTCAAATGCGGACTTCAGTTTCTTTAAGACTTTTGCTAACCCGTCCATCACTATTCACGAATGTCCCGAGGCTTGATGGTGTCCGCCCTGGGGCCCTCAGGGGTGTGTGTGTGTGTATGTATGTTTATCCCAGCGGAAGTTTGCATTTAGGGGCACCAGGTAATAGATGCAGACTGTGCTTGCTGAAGTCATCACATCTGAACAGAATCAAATTGGATGCAGACTATACTACTAATTCTGTGTTTTCTTTTCCAGAAGGTCAGCACACCAGATATTCTGAAACCTTTCAGTCAAGAGAGTCCCAAACGCTCTACCAGCCCTGTTTTGAAGCAAGAGGGTGTCTCATCCAGTCCAACGCCCACGACGCTGTTCTCAGGAGGCTTGAGACACGTGAGTCTCGTCTAATACCCTTGACATATGCCGTGTGGTCGGTGTGATGTCCGGTTGGATTCATAGGCAAGGGTACGAGTGGAGTTTTGTTTTGTGGGGCTGACGGGGGCCTGATACAGCTCAGATGGAGTATTTTACTTCGATTGAGAGCTGGGAAAACCTGGCTATACTTTGATGGTGGTTTTCTTCTTAACATCTTACTGTGAACATTTTCATACCTACAGAGGGTAATTAATAAGTAATGGTGTCTTTGGATGAGGGTTCTTAGTTTTGATGAAGCCTGATGCATCACGTTGTCCTTTTACAGTTATGTCTTTCTTATCTACCCACAAGTCGTGAAGCTAGTCTCCCGTGTTTTCTTCTAGAGGTTTTATAAAAGTTTAGCTTCTATGTGAGGTCCATGCTGTAGCTCATTAATTTTCATGAATGGGGTAAGGGACACGCTGAGCTTCATTTTTTCCCCATATGAGTACACAGTTATTCCCGCACCATTTGTTCAAAAAGAGAATTTCGTTTTTCCATTGACTTTGGTGTCTGTGTTGAAAATCAAACGACCATATACTTGTGGATCTTTTTCCAGGTTCTCTCTTCTGTTCTGCGCTGAATCTCTTTGTCCTCCTTAGGCCAAAACTACACTGACTTGATTACTGTGGCTTTGTAGGAAGTCTTGAGGTTGAGTAGTTTGTCTTCCAACTTTGTTCTCAAACAAGATCGCTTTGTGATGCCTTAAATTTAGTGTCTAATCATAGGCAGGTCTTTTTATTCATTCATTCATTATTTAAAACATTAGATGAATGTTTACTCTGTGCCTCAACACAGACACGTGTAGGAATGTCAGAGCCTTGGGTGAGGGGCGCTGTGGCTTCAGTTCCAGTCATAGCCTTTTCACTTATTAAATGATCTTAAGCAATCTCAAAAACTCTAAATTTCAGAGTCCCCATTGAGGAGATGGCATCAAAGTTGTTCTCTTTATTGCTTTATTGGATTGCTTTGGGAATCAAACAAATGCACACATTTCGTGGCGTCTTGTAGTGGTTAATAACTCATGTCTAGAAACCCATGTCTTGGTTCCTGTTGCAGCTCCTTTAGTGGCAAGGAGTTAACCTCTCCGTGCCTTGGGGCAGTTGTGCTTTTTGTGGAAAATTGTGTTCACTTCAGAAAATGATAAACTTTTCCTCCATCTACATGAATGTCCAGTGGAACACTCAAAAGTCATGGCAGAAGCAGTCCAGACCCATGCACTGAAGGATAGCTGTCATCCTTGATTCAATCCACTGAATGTTTACAGCTCCCAACCCATCCCTTGGCTCCAACCACTGGCTCCCGGGGGTGGACCTGCTTCCATCAGAACCATTGCTCTACACCCTCACTGCTCAAAGTGTGGGGCCCGGCAGCGTTGGCATTACCTGGGAGCTTGGAAATCAGAACCTCAGGCCTTACCCCAAAGTTACCTACTGGAGTCGGAATCTGCAGTTTAACAGGAGCCCCAGGAGGTTCAGATGCACAGTGAAGTTTCAGAAACACATGCGCTGAGACCTAGCCATTTCAGACTCGAGTCAGGTATGTCATTTGTCAAGGATTCTTTAATGGTCTAGGGCTGTGCTGTCCAATGTAGTAGCCATTAGTCACACGTGGCTGTTAGGCACTTGAAATGCGGCTAGTCCGAGCTTAGATATTCTGTGAGTATGAGGTACCTACTGGGTCTGGAAGATTTTAGTGTAAAGGTAAAATGTCTCATTAATAATTTTTTATTGATATGTGTTGAAATGATAGTATTTGGGATACATTACATTAATAAAATACGCCATTAATTTCACCTATCTCTTTTTTTAAAAAAAATGTGACTGCTAGAGAACTTTAAATTACTTATTGGCTGGCACTCCTTCTATCGGACAACCCAGCGCTGGATACAGTGACTGTGTGCCAAGGAGCACATGGAGTAGCAGCTCTCTCCCAGGGCCTCTGGAACGGTCTCCAGAAGGTTGTGTCTGTGCCTCTGGGCACCTTCCTGGGGAGAAGGAAGTGTTTTCACTCAGTTCTCAAACAGATCTGTGTGTCCACACTGGTCAAGGACTGAAATGCAAATTTATGTCATGCAAGTCCCCTGGTGGGGCCCTCCCCATTGGGCCGAGGGCAGCCCC